AAATCGACAAGCGCTTTTTTGAATTCGAACAGTAGTAAATGTAGTCCTTGAAAAGCGCTATCGAATGGTATATAATGATCGACTAGTAATGAACTCCTTCGATGAGTAAGTTAACTTTTGTTTAGGAAGTTGGATATTTATTTTAGCAGTAGTACGCAAGTGTATAAACACATTTTTTATAGATTTTCGAATATGATCTCTCCAATAGTGAGGTTTTCGAAATGTAAAAATATTTGTTATGGGTTTTCCAGAAACCCACAAGGAATTACTTCTGAATTCTGAAAATCTCATCATTAGAAAGAGCATATTCGAAAACCAATAGAAAAACATGTTTATAGGCTTTCATACCAGTTCTACAGCATATATCCGCCTGCTCTATAGAAAAATGCCCACTGTGTGCTGTACCGTTACCGACGCAGAGTGCTATCTAGTATCAGTTTCAGATGTCTTCTCTATAGCTGACGAGCTTCTGACATAGTCATCTATATCATTATTACTCATCAATTGTAGCTTTGATCAGAAGGTTAGTGTGAGGCAGAGTTCTGACACCATACTGTCATCAACTTTGATGTGAATGAGAAACTCAATAAGACTTTTTTAACAGTTGTCTTAGCAAACGTGAGTACAAAGTTAAGCAACAAAAAACTCTATAAATTAAGAATTCAAAGTATTTTCCTAACGTTCAATCATTTGTTTTCAGGTTGAGAGCATTAGTACCATCATATGAAAGATTTTAATGTCAGTTGAAACATCTTTTAGTAGTTCAAGGATGTTTCTGCTTTCGCTCATATGAATTGCTTGTTGAGAAAAAGCTTTTAATTACACAAATAATACAATGTTGAATTTTAAATGCACATATATTAATTAATAGATGATCAAAGTTTCTGTAATTTTTCAATACCTTTTAAAAGTTTTAAAAAAGTTATCTCATTCAATAACAGTAAATTTTATAAAACTTTGTTCTTCATTCTCGATTTAAAACCTTTCATACAGTTTTCTACACTACGTGTAAACCATCACTACTAAGACTACTATTTAATATTTAAAAAAATTCGAATATTACTGTTATTGGTTAGCTTCAGATTTGATAATGAAATAATCGTTTTATTTGAGCACTTTTCCCAATACAATATCGAATAATCGAATATATAAGAAATGATATTATTTCACTTCTCATTTTGAATGAAACTTGTTTATCATTCATTTATCAAATGCTTACATTCTTCCCTATCTCATTCTTTACATTCTCATTACGGACAAAGTTTCAACTAACAGGAAAAAACACGTTTGGTTTTCTTTAATATTTTTTATTATTTTTCTGTCTTACTTTTGATAAATGTGTTTTATAAAATAGAAAAGAAAAAAAAAGGAACAGAAAAGAAAAAAAAAAGATCGATGGCTGTTTTAGTCATACATGCTTTTCGATGTTCATCAATGTTCTTTATAGAGAAAAATTAATAACAAATCACAACAACAAAAAAAAAGAGCGAAAATTTTTTATAAATATTATATTTTCTCACCACTTACACGTGATCTTGTTTCATTTTTTTTTAATAACAAGTAGTATATGATAGATACTGTTTCGCGTATAAAAATAATGCATTATAAGAACAAAGACAAAATAGCCACGCTCGCAATACACATTTGTAAAAGAAAAAAAGAGAGAGAGAGAGAGAGGAAACGAGAAAAAAAAATTGTTGTCTCACATTCTTTCTTTATCAAATTTTCTGTTTTTTTTCTCTCTGGAAAACTAACTTTTACACAAATTTTCCAAAGCATCACTAACACTCCAATGCATTGTACTTAATGCGGAACGCGCTTTTTCCTAAAATTAAAAATAATTTTTGTTTACATAGAAATAGATTGAGGTTAATAATGAACTTCATAATGCACTTTTTTTAAAAATATTAAAAAATAAAATCTTCTTACTTCAGAAAATCCCATATCTGCTAATTGTTGAACGGCTGCATCACATTCTGGTTCCCGAGTTGGTCCTAAAATTAGTAAACAATGACGACATATGAAAATAATAGAGTCAAATTATTTTAAAATTACCTTCGGCATAAATATTTGCCCAATGTCGAGCAGTTTTTTCAAATAGCTTTCGATCTTTTTTATATTGATTTGCAACTACGGCATCTTGTGGATCATCTTAAAAGAAGACGTAAAGAAAAAAAATAACATAAACAGTTAAATGAATAAAAAATAAATAGAGATTCTGACCTGGTTCAGGAGTAGCTAATAACGCTTGTAAACTCAATAATACCGTACGTAGTGTCATTGCTGCAGCCCTTTTAAATTAATATATGAAATAAAAACTACATAATCAAATATGAAATTTTTCTCACCATTGATCTTTCAATATATCCAAACAAATTGCTCCTGTAACACTGCTAATATTTGGATGCCAAATTTTTGTAACAAAACGTACCTTTGGTGGATTAAATGGATATGTATCCGATACAAATATTTCCAAATGATATTTGGCTCCAGTATATGGTGTATCTGGTGGACCATCAATTTCACCTCTTAAATTAAGTGCTTTACCACTACTTATGTAGGCATTTAAATTTGTTGTTATTTCCTCTAAACCATCAATTTTAATACCACATTGAGCAACCTTAAAAAATAAATTTTATTAAAATCTTCAAATGTATACACAAGTGTCTTTTCATTATTCTAAAAGATAAAATTTGCTCTATTAAGAGTTAAAAAATAGATACAATCTTTCATTTTTCACTCATGTTTAGTATAATAGTTTTTGAATAATATATTTAACATATAATCATCTTATCAGTTACCTCTTTACTATCGACAACTTCTTTAAATTCTTTCATAATTCTGTTCATATGAATATTAGCCATAATAACAAATATAATAAAAATTAAAATATATTAGTATATAATAAGAGGATGGAGACGTTATTTTATTAATAATCGATATTGATTTTGTTTTTTTACTTGTTGATCAAAATAATAGATAATAATCAAACTGAAAGACAATATCTTTGGTTTTCTTCTTGCTTATATTGTTTGTTTCTAACAAATAAAAAGATGATTATGCACAATATAACATCATTATTAAAATGAAATCTATAAAATTATATATAAATTTAAATGGCCTATGTTTTTATATTCATCTCATTTACTGTTTTTATCAAGTATATAAATACATACGAACTTTTTTCGTCTGCATCACATGTTGCCATGACTCAGTCCCTTTTCTCTTTCATATTTATTATTATAGAAAATTCATTTTATACGAGTTGAACAGATGGATGCCAACAAGTAGACATGAGATCAATGTCTTTGAGAGAGACGAATATATATTATCTAACTTTGTACATGTAGATGAAAGCAAGAGAAACAAACAATGAATAGGATTTAATTGAGGTTAGAAGGTGTTTAATCTCAATGCTCAATAATATTCTAATATTATCTTCAACTAATAATCAGAAATAGACGAGTCATCACTTTTTCCAAATCGTATTCAAACTAACGAATCATTTTTCATTAATTTATTTTTGCAAAAAATGATTTTCAGATTGTCTCTATTATTTCGTAGATTTTCAACCTTGTCAAGTGACCAGATGTTCGTCTTAAAATATTTTCAAATCTCTCTTTTTGTCTTCCTGTATATAACAAATACAAGAAACAATTATAATAATATATAAAATTTTACATAATTGACTCGAAAGTGATGCAATTTCAGTTTTTTAAGTTTATGAAGTTTTTTTTCACTTCAATTCTGAGTAATAGAAAAATTTCACTATTTCTATCAACAATATCGTTTTAAACAGGTTGTACATTTCTAAGAGAAAACTTTTCACGTAGTATTTACACTACAGATAACTGACAAGTAAACTGTACATCTAGCAGATAAACAATAAGCTCTTCAGTTTAAAAACTATTTGTTGGAAATATTATGAAGGGAATAACAAATAAATAGTAGAAAAGAAACTCCATATCAATAACAGACAACTTTGAATCGATAATTAAAGTAATGTAAAGGTAACATGACAGTCTGATATAAAAAGAATCACCAAATTATTCAGAGTACAAACATTAATGTCGACTTATTGTGTTAGGTCAAATGGTTTGCGATTAAAATACAGAGAAATTTTCCATACAGAGCATTTTTTGTCGATAATCTAATGTTTCCTTGCATTTTTAGAGGCTAGCTATCGTTCATTAATAGTGATGATAGGATATATTTAGTTTTTTTTATTCTATCTGTACTAAAATCGTTTACTTGATACTTAAATACACGCCAGTAAATCAATAGAAACAATCGAAAACCATTGGCAGGCAGCATTCAATATTTTTAGAAAAATAAACCGAAAATGAGGAAGAATTAAAATAACCAATTATTTTTTATTTTTTATTTTGTTTTAATGTATATTTATGGATTTCTAAAGACAAAAAAATGGCCAAAAAAGAAAACAGTAATTCTTCTATAAACAGGACAACAAAAAAAAACAAAAACCAAAGTGAATCACTTAAATAGAACAAAATTCTCAAAAATGGCAGCAAAAAACATTTCAACGAATTCACTGTACTTCGTCTCTCTCACTCTCTCTCTCTCTCTCTTTCTTATGGCAAGATTTTGCAATGAGCATAATTATGAGGTTCTATTAAGAGAAAAAAATGTAAATCATTGCCGAACATCGTCAGTTGTATAGTTTCTAGAACAACAGTTGTCGGACGGATAAAATAAGGGAAATTGAGCATGTGACAAAACTATAAGTGTAACAAAACAGAAAACGACTAGGTGACAACGAGCTAGATTCAATTATTCATAGAAGAAAAGAAAGAGAAACATTAACTCGTTCATTTTCCTATCCACCATCTCATCTTATGGTTTTATAAATTTTTTGTTTACATCACCACAAACATCACAGCAAAAAAGAAAAGAAAAGGTAAAGATTATCTAAAAATAGTACTAAGTGTTGCGCAAACAGTCAAAACATGCATAGATACATGAGCAAAATGAGAAAGAATTTTTAAAAGGAAAAACAAACAAAAAAACAAACAAATAAAAATTTCGTTGCTCGACAGCCGCACAAAAACAAAATTATCCAAATGCCTGAGAAGATGCGAAGAAAAGATATATCCAAGTATAGTTTCTCGTTTTTTTTTCCTGATAATTTTTCATTTTGCAGAACTTTTTCATTTTGCGCAATCTCCAAATAAAATCTGCCAACAACAATACTATGATCATTAAATTAGGTTCTCAATTGTAATCATAACTAGCGTAGACAAAACTTTTGATATACAGTTCATTTTCAAAATAAAATAGTGCCTCTTTCCTCTCGTATATATTAGTTTTATTTTTCAGTGATCAAATAAGCGAAGAGATTATGCTCAAAGTTATTTTTTGTTTTTATCAAATTGATTGTTGCTGTTAAATAAAAAGAAAGACTCATTTCCACTTAGCACCAAAAAAATATCTCTCTTTATCAAATTGCTAACGTTTAAGTTTGTCAACTGAGATCCAACAGTTAGTTGCTCAGCAAAAATGAACAAATAAAATCGTAGCTTCCTGAGTGTAGAGAGAGAAAAAAAACGAACGAACCGGATGTGAAAAAAAGAGAAGAAATCACACGGTGTTGCGGCGTAGCGGTATCCAAATAGACTGAGATTTATGAAAAAAAAAAATTGGTTCTAAAGGAACAATGCTATGCATAGTGAGGTTCAAAAAGAAACTGTTTCAAAATAGAAACGAAAAAAAGAAACACATGCAACAAACAGGTGTTGTGAAAGACTCTAATAAACAAACAAACAAACGAACACAAAAAAAACAAACTCACACATCTATTTTTGTAGAAAGAACAATAAATGAAAACCAAAACTCACCGTGTAGCGCTAACTACTAAAGAAGCAAACAAACATGTGAGAAAGAACAACATGATACTTCACTGCTAAGATAATACACGAGCGCATGTGCACAGTTAAGTAGATGATGAAAAGAAAAAAAATCTAATATCGAAAACGAGCAAGAAAATTCTGCACAAAAAAACGAGCAATAAGAGTAAAAAATACTCTGTCTGTATAGAGACAAAAATGATCAAAATAAAGCAAAAACAAAAGAAAATCTTTTTGTGATTATCCAAACGCACCATCAGATTTTTGATAACTTCAATAAAATAATACCTTTATGTGGTTCACTATAACTAAAAAGAAAGAGAAACCAAATTTAATTGAAATTAATCAATAAAATAATGTCCTCAGTTTCTTTTTTTCTATTCGACAAAAATGAAATGAATGTGAGCAACATTCATATGTTTAATTACTGTTTTTACCTGTAGTTATTCAGTTTTAAATAATTAATGATTGTCGTTCTTATTTTTCCATTATCGTCACCGTTCGACGAATTTTTATTTCGATCAGTTATAATTTCAAATTCATTTTTTTTGCTGTCACTACTACTAATACTCTCTTGAATAATACTTTGTACTAGATGTAATGCTTCATTACAATAAAATCCATGTAAATTGAGCTGTTGTGTTTGAATAAATCGTTCACGACGATATTCGGATAATTTTTCATAGGCATTTTGATTCGAATGTTTCATTAGTTTAAAATGGTCATTTGCTTTATCGATGTAAAAGGAAGCTACGCCAGTCATACCTAAAAATAAGAAGATATATTGAATTGTTACAATAATTGCTATGATTCTAACATAAATAATATCAACTTTTATACAATACTGAAAAAAAGTATCTCGTCAGTACTTATAATATTTGCCTTCAATCTTATTTAATTTTACTTCCAAACTCACCATATTTAATTGCTTCATATGCTTTTTTATACATTTGTTTTCGTATTTGTCCATGTTTCAATGCATCGAATCTTAATTCTGAATAAGTTTTAGTGATTGGTTGCATTTGTAATGCGGAAACATATGATTGAGATGAAATATTTTTATTTAACATCGAAGTAATAGAAGCCAATGTTAATTCATAATTAAATTCATTTTCATCAAATAACTGATAGATTAAATCGCGTGAATACTGAGGAAACTCTATTTCAAGACATTTTAATTTTAATTCTGATGCATCATCTAATTCATATGATGAACGATGTTTCTAAAACAAATATATCAATAGTTGACGTGAAGTAACATAAAAAATTCATTACATACCAACTGACTGTGTTTTTCAGTCCGTTTTTCATCGATTATTATTCGTTTAAGAGACTGTGCATCAGTATGGCTCGTTTTCATGTTTTCTTCCAGTCCATTATCGATTGTATTAATATTGTACCATCGACTATTTTCTTGGCTTAGCTGGTTTTTTTGAAGTAATTTTTCTGCAGTTTTTGAATTGTTTTGTTGTTGTTGTTGCTTATGATTGACATTTATTAAAGCTGTTGCGTTATTTGCATTCAATATATGTTTTTGTATAGTTTGATACAATGTGATAGCTAAATCATTATCAATTGAAAGTAGAATTTCATCATGACAATTATTTTCTACTGTCGTCCAATAGCGTGTTGACAATGATTGATCTTCTAGCAATTCACCGTATGTTTTTTTCATGCTATCAATGATTTTTTCTGGTATTATAAGATATTTTGTGTATTCTTGATCTGTACTCAAATTACTAGCATCATTAGTCACAATTAATTCGTCAAAATAATCAATAAGTGATCGATCATCATCATTTATATCCTAAAACAAGTAAAATAAACAATTGATGACTAGTTTTATAGTCTGAAAACGATAGATAATCGTTTTGTTCAATTTTCTCACTTCTAAAAGTTTACTAATTGAATTTATATCAAAATTTGGATTGTTTACTTTGATGAACAAATTCCATTCATTTAACACGTCAAGACAATATTGTTTTAATGAGGATATTTCATTATAACATTGTCGTTTTTGCTTTTGTTGTTTGTTTGTATGTGTTTCAATAAAAGAATCATAATTTTCTTCTCTATAACTTGATATTGGTGATTGTGTCATGTGCGGATGTAGGTGTAGTAGATATTTGTCTAACTGAGACTTAGTCCGTTGCAAATCACACATGCATAATTTATAAAACTGTGAAATAAGTTCAGAACTAATCTTAGATGAATATAAAGAATTCAAATAAGATAGAGAATCATCATTTTCGTCTAATAAATCAAGTTGAGTACCACGTTCGTATGAGGCAAATGGATGGGCAGTCTTTAAGCAAGCATCGTTAGATGAGGAGGCTATCGCTACCGAAGAACCGTCTGATAGTAACAATGAGGAATTGTCACTAAATAAAGAAGACATCGAATTCAATTCTGATATTGCTATATTATTAACAGATATACTAATCCTGAATAATGATAAATACTTAGCTATAAGATTTTGGATTAATTTACCTTATCTGTGCATTTGTTTGCACGCCATGTTGTAATAGATTATTCAGCCAGCTATTGTTTGTGATGGTATTTTTACTTTTATCTTCTTCTGTATGTTGAATCGTTTCATCGATCACCAAACACCGATCAACAAAATCTTCTTCCATGAATACCTCATAGTGTGGTTGTGGAACAGAGATCTGTTTTAATTTGATTTGTGGCAAGTCAACATTGTTATTATTGTTATTTATGTTTTCATTAATTGTTGCGACACTTCTCTTATTTTTATTTTTTTTCTTCGTTTTTGATGGCAATGGATCACATCTTGGAAATGTTGTCGATGGCAGTCTTAGAATATGTTCTCCATCTTGAACAGAGGTTGCTACAGTTGTGGCAGATGTTGAAAATCGAGATGATAATGAACGATGAAAACGATGATGAGGTGTAAGAGGATTGCTTAAAAGTGATGTTGGAGTTGTGCTGTTCAATGGATAATCATAAAATGATATACTACACATTTGAGGTGAGGTCGGTTGAGACGGTGATGGAGCAGTGGATGTAGGCGACGTACACGGTGCAGTCGATGCTACAATAGTAAAAGACAGTGGTAAGCCAAAAATTGTGATACAGACTTCAAACGAGAATAACCATGATTGCCAATAGTAAGCAATAGACAATAAAACAGATTTCTCAATCTCTTCTACGTTTCCATGTAAGATAGTGAAATATTAGCAGCAAATGTATTTATATAGGTAACCATTCAATATTTACTATATTAGTTTATCCTTTGCTTACCGAAAACAATTGCCTGATAAAAATTTGATGTTATAAACAAAATCATATCGTCAATACATGATTTAACGTCGTTTAAAATCACTTCCTGAGAAGGAATTGTTTCAGCAATGTTAATCAATGTGGTAGTGGTCGTGGTTGTCATCGGTGATGAATAATTTCGTTGAATAAATGTTCGTTGTGGTAGTGAAAGTTGCAATTGCTGCTGTGATTGAGTAATTGTTGTAGTCATAGTTGATAAAGTCGGTTCAAGTAACGACTTAACACTTATGTTATGTTCGAAGCGCATAAGCATATCTTTTATGCGACGTAATGGAACATTGTGAGCATTACGTCTAAACAAAAGAGACAGAAAAAAGAAAATCATAACACAGCTAGTTAACGCGTTTTTTTGATATAAACGAACAATAGAGAAAATATTTGTTCAACGGGTGAAATCAGATAATGTGATGAAACACACAACTGTTGGAATCGTTAAGAGTTCAATTTATGCATCTCAGATAGAAAACATACGTACGTTTTAACAACAAAACGGACGGATGTGAAGATGCAACTATAACACTAAAACAATTTTCGAAGTTCTTCTCCTGGATTCGATCTTCTGACCTTCATACGTTGCACTTCTCCAACTACGCATTTTCCCATTGCACTAAATTATGCAAAAGGAAGCTACGAGTTATGATGATACATTTGTATGAAGGCCGTACACTTATAATTGGCATTGCTAGTAAAGGATCCGCCGTACACTTTGTGTCGACGATAAAATAAGGTCGACATTTATGTATAGTATAGCTAGTAACATGTAAGTAATGACTTGTAAAGACTATTTAAATATATACATAAGTGTACGGCCTTCACGTGAATGTATCATCATTACTCATAGCTTCCTTTTGCACAATTTAATGTAATGGAAAAATACGCAGTTGGAGAAGCGCAACGTATGAAGGTCGGAAGAACGAATCTAGAAGAAGAACTCCTAAAAATAGTCTAATAAAATATCTCTCTTATAAACACTATAGCAACTATAACACATAAGCCACATTCTACTGGTTGGAAGCATTGTGCCTTTTATCTTAAAATTATAAAATTCTTATAAATTAAAGTCATACTTGAATAATTCTCTTGCTTTATATTTCCATGGGGTATGCGGTTCAATAATCAATATGTTATAACCAGCTTCTTTAGCCTATATAAAAAAATAAAATAAGTTAGATCTAACTGTTTCTATATTCTATCTTACCATTGTCGCATATGGTTTCATTTCCCATGATGTTGTGTTTGTATTATCAATAATAATTGGTGTTATATTATTTTTTATTGATTCTAAGGCTAAAAATAACTCAACAGTTAAGCTTACATAGAGTTACAAAATGAGAGACAGACCGCTTTTTTGATTAAAGCTATGTGCTTCGTCGAATTTATTGGCATCAAATACATACTGGTCATTCTGTTTCAGAATGAGTTTTGCTAAAATTTAGACAAGGCAACAGTAATCAATCTCGAATGTTATTAATTTTCAAGTTGTAGGCTCTGATCAGTTGAGTATCAGGTAAAGGACATGAACGAAAGAACTAAGAAAAGCGTTTGAGCAGAACTGACTTTTTTTACGTTGAAAGCAAAAATAATGATCAACGTGAACTTCCAAGCAATTTTATGTTAACGATAAACTACATTCAATAGTAAAAGTTTGTATAGTAAAATAGTCATATGTATGAAAACGAATCGAATATTAAATCTTTTGCTCGTTTTCTTCTCGTACCATGAGTGAAATCCTGAACTAAAAAAGGAATTATAATGTATACTGTAGTTCTGCTTAATGTAAACAAAATTTATTGAAAGAGAATTGGGTGGTATATCATTCTATTGACCGCAGATCACCAATATATAATTTGTGTTAAATGAAAACATAAATATCGTGTTATCAACGGCGAAAAGTGATCAAGGGAAAGGATAAAATAAATAATGCTGTTTTCTAGTTTTTCATATGTACAAGTATCAACAGGTTTATCAACGGATTCTTCTACAACTGATAGTAGACAACAACGTGAGATATGGCATAAACTCTAGTCGTTGTTCTATATTCGTTGTAATCGTGATTAAAAATGAATATAACATGAAAACCTGAAAATCATCTTTTAGTCCAATTTTCTACCCATGGTATGAGAAGGAAAAGAACAAAAGATATTTTTAAATTATCCACAACAAATCATGTTCTACAACACAAATAAAAGTCACTATCACTCTTATTTAACTTGTCGAAAAACTCACTGTTAAAATATTCATCTGTCGATAAAATAACACCGTCAAGACCGTTGAGCAGATTTCTATAAACAAAATACAAAGGTTATTTTTTTTTAAAATAAACTTTTATTAACAGCGAAATACACTTTGAAATTTTACTCACTTGGCTAACGTCGATTTCCCAGAACCTGGACAACCTCTCATAAGGATAAATAATTTATCTCCATTTTCCAGCATTCTTTTAACATTCTGAATAGTTTGACGATCATAATCAATGATTGTCGTATCTTCGTTAATTTCTTCTTGTTCACTTTCTTCTTTCTCACCGTTTTCTACAACTATCTCTATTTCATTCTGTTCTTGTTCATCTTCGGATGTTGTATTTGGTGAACGAGACGGGGAAACAGATTTTTCCTCATCACTTGATTTTATTGAGGTTTTGGTTATCATTACAGTATTATTCTGTTGGGTTGACACCAGTAGAGGTGATTCTTCTTGTTTTGTTTGCGTAGGAGGTGACGATTTAGAAATGTCGGATGTTTTAGCGGGCGTACTAAAATAATAAAACTTATTCGAAGAATTCTTTTTATAGTGATGATCGCCCCCACTCAATGAGTCACTTTTTTTTATGCATTACAAAATGGTAAGTTGTTTACTACTGTATTTTGTTAAGTTGACTTGAATAAGTGAAACATAACTGCTCAGAAAAAATGTTTAATTACTCACTACATGTTCGCTGTTCACCAGAGTTATATTGAAAATGGTGTACGCACCTTCGTTGTTTTGATTGGTCATCGTCCATCTTCCATATATCTTCTGTAGTTGAACCAGTTCGATCAAATTTTTTCTTACTTTTTGATCGTACTTCAATCCAATCATCTGGTAGATTTTGCACAACATTTTCTTTTTCATGTTTTATATTATTGATTAATCGACGACTGCTATCGTTCTTGTTTTTGTTGTTCGGATTTGACGGTCCAAAACGTTGCTGTTGACGATCTCGAGGAGGTAAAGCAAAATGTTGTGGCTGTCGGCGATAATTGTTGTTATTACTATTGTTATTCACCTTTGTTTTATTAAATGTCGATTTGCGAGGTTGTTGTTGATTACTTTGAGAAGTTTGAGCAGCAATGATATTTGAGTAACTGATTGTGCGCGATGACTTTATATGATTTTGCAATTGAGAATTTTGATTTGTATTTACATGTTTGACTAATGAAGTAGATTCTTGACTAGATGAGGAGGATGTAGATGGCAAGAGTTGATCAACTGGAGACGTATTGCTCGTGATAAGTATTTCTTTTTCATGATCTAAAATGTGCAGCAAGTAACAGAGTTAGGTTGAGATCAACTTTACAGGATAAAACAGCATAAGTTTTGCGCACTAAATAGGCCTGTACTTCTACCTGATATTGTTGAACTTTCTTCGTCTATTGTCTGATAATTCTTTTGGTTAACAAGATCAGTTCGAACTAGCTCATTCGTTGATTTCAATTCTGGAAAATTTTCCTGGTCCACAGTTATATCAGGCGTAGTATTTTCTGATAATTCATTTAGGTCCTCCATTGATGAGGCTGGTATCCATTCCGGTGCATCTGGATTTAATAAACTGATTGAGTTAGATTGCAATAATAGCGATGCCGGTAGCGATGGTTGCATATGATACTGTAAATAATCATCGGAACCATATGACCTTAAAGCATTTATCGGCGGTGAACTGATGTTGTAGGCAATATGAGTGAGAGGTTGATTCGGATGAAAGGCAGGATGAAATGGAAATAGTAGCCCAGCTGGAGGTGTAGCAGTCATCAACGGTTGTGGAGGATGAGGTGAAAAACTGATGAATCTTGGCAAAACATTACGTCGCGGTCTTCCACCGTTTATTTGTTGTTGTTGTTCAGGTCTATTACCATTTTCATCTTCGTTGTATGATGTTTGTCGAAGTCGAGGTGGTAAATTTGTTGGCAATGTTGTAGCTGAATCCGGACTTCGAGATGATGGCGTGATAAACATAAGAGGTAGTGGAGGTGGATGTTGTTCGCGACTGGACTGACGTCTTAATATCAAATAATTAATAAGTGCAAGTTAGTGGAACTAACGAATAAGTTTTTATCAAATTATAGAAATTTAAGTTTTTTATCCATTCAAAACAAGGGTGACCAAGGTATTCGTCCCGTTAAAAAAACTTATTACTCGGCAATAACTTGTGCACATAGATAACTTGACATGCTATACAATCTGGCAGTAACAGAATTTGCTCAGACGAAAACTTGTGATAGACTTCTAGCGATCCTTATTTCGGCAGTATCGGGCTGAACGGAGAATTTGTAATCAGCATAAAAAATTATCGATAATCACATAGATTTCAAGAAAAAATCGAAAAGAAATCTGACTGGTTTCCCTCATCTGAGAACATTCAACCAAGATTAAACTAATCCTAGATGGGAATTCATACTGCACTATCTGAAAATGGATTATTTTGCAATAGTGTTAAATAAGAGATAAGAAACACAGCTAAAACGACGAAAGATACTAACTCCTATTGTTTTCTTACTCATTTCGTAATCTTTCGCAGACCACGAGACATTTTTCATTACTAAACGCTAACTTTAAGTCATTTGTCAAATTTCTCTACCTGAACCTGATATCCATTGGTGTTGTCGGCAATGGAGGAGATTGATAATAAAAATAAGGATATTGCTGCTGTGGTAACTGTGGTTGATAATGGTTACTATAAGACGATAGTCGTTGATAGAGTTTACTTGGCAGTTTTGATGATTTCAATGTTTCAGACCGATTGATGTTAGCGTTGAGTGTATTTGTAGGTGATGTTTGAGGTAAAACGTCTGTTTTTGATTTATTTTCTTGCTCTTCCCTCTCACCGCCAGTAATATCATACATATATGTTTGCGGTAACTCAGAGTCAGAAATGATAGTCGATGCTAAGGAATCAACATTTACATTCTCAGTTTTATCACTGTCGTTTGTTGGCTCGTTCAATATAGTTGAACTAAAACAGACAAAGCAAGCATATACTATATAAGAAAATGCTAATACTAAATAGATATAAACTACCAATTTACCTATTCACATTTTGATCCGTTTCATACCGAGTATGATTATCGTTATTAATTTCATTCTGATTATCAGTCAGATCATTGGTGTTAATATCACTCGAAATAGAAGTCTTACTATGATCACATGGTAGTTGACTATCGTTATTCTGAATGATTTGCTCTTCTTTTGTCCTATTTTCATTGTTAAAATTCACACTGTTATCATTCTTATTTTCAGAGGAAAATTCATCGTTTTCAGTTTGCAAAGATGAACTAAAAGTGAAACGAATGAAATTGGTTAATTGTTAGTGTAAAATGACCAGATTTCTTTTCTTTTTTTAACGAGTTGTAAAAATATGTTGTATCTTACTTTTTTATCACTGCATATTCTTCATTCAACTGACTGTTATTATTTTGCTGTTGTTCAAATGAGGATTTTCTAGAGGATGGTAATACTGATGGTAACTGAGATGATAAATCATTATCTGTTGACGGTACAACAAATGCTAACGCTGAAAGACAATTAGATTCATCGTTTGCTTGTGGTAATTGTTGATCTAACTCGTTTACACTACTCATTTACACACGACGAAGAAAAGAGAGATAATAATAAACAAAAAAATAAAATAGATAGATAAGTTTTAAAATAAATTTAAGGACGACATTTTAACAGAAGAACATGTAACACAGTGGTCGGATATGAAGACGAAAAAACAAAACAACAAATGAATTCAAACATAATTCTAAAAGTAGACGAAAATGTACAAAATCATCATTAAATCAATATTCTCCTTCATATAGTGAAGCTTGGATAATGCTGCATAAAATAAGTCTATTTTAAACTTGGCAAAGTTCTGATATCTCCGTCATACCGATCTATCGCTCACTCTTAGTGAACGATTGATTTTTCTTTAGATCTTATTTAATCAATAAAAAAATAAAAAATTAATCTATCATATTTATTTGAAAAAAAGTAATAACAATTTCACATAGTTTGAACAAGGACAACAATAAAATAGGAGTAAAATTTAACAAAATAAATAGATGACGTGAAAAATGTTTTCATAAAAATAGTGCATTGTATTAGTTGTTTGTTTATCGTTTCATAGAAAAGAAACGATACATATAGTAGATATTGAAATGAGAAAAACAACAAAATACACTTACATGCTACAATCGGTAAACGATCTTTTTCTGTAATAAACAGAAATAGATTGGAATACTATAAGCGTTTTATAGATTTTACAAAATTTATTTTATATATACAAGATTTAGCAAGAAAAATACACCTAATTAGGTGGTTTTCTAAACTCAATGTAAAAAATAAAGTGACGATCTCTTCTGATGCTTACTCATTATTTTTAACATTGTCTATTTACTGCATTATTACTAACTTATTTTTTATACTGACAAATTACCATGCTCTTCTTCTTTATTTTTTAACAGAAAAATAAAAATTAATGAGTTTAGTATCAGTTACTATAGTGTGACTGAAATCAAATTGTCAAATACTAATTGTGAAAATAAGTATGTGTTACTACAATAGGCTAATTTAATTTTTCTCCCATCTGATATTAACACTAACTTAATAGTTTCTGAAACTATTAAGTGCACAATATTAATGATTTTGAAATTAAAGTAATATCACTTGCTAGTAAAATCAATAAACAAGAAAAAGACAAAAATACAAAACGTTTTCTGAGATGGGTAGAAATAAACGGCACGCATACCTATTCAAATCGACTATGTTCAATGAAGGTGTTATTATCTAGAAAAGAAATATGATTTACAGTATATTATCTAAGAATATGGACAGACTATTGATCATACAACAATTGCATCTCATTTTGTATTAGAGAAATTTGTATGTTATGATTCCACCTGTAATGAGTCTTAGTAGCTGAATAAGCCATTAACAGAAAATAAAATTTATCAAAAGTGACTTGCATTCAATTAAGAAAGGAAAATGGAAAAGGCGGAGAGCAATCTAAACAGCGGAAAGTGCGGTAAAAAGTTCAGAAAGCAGAATTTCTCTGCGACCAACAAAAAAGGTGGGCAACTCTTGTCTGAATCAAGCTTAAAAGTAAGTGCAAAATAAAGTAACTCAGGTAAACGACTGAGTAAAAGACGTGAGTAACTTTTATTTATTAAGCCAGACACCGTAACGATAAAGGAACATAAATATAATATATTCATAAATACTTAAATAAACAAAAATTCAAGATTTGATGATAGCCTTGCTGACAGCACATTCTTGGCTTATACTCATTCACTCAATTTTTGATTTCTATACTACTAAATGAAAATCTGGTAAAATATAATCTACTAACGTTGGAGATTATTCCTCTAGGTTTTAAATCAAAGTAATGGTCTACGACAAGATCTATGATTTTTTTCTATACGAAGTCAATATAACGCATCGATAGGGAAGTATTGTTTATTTAGTTACTAAGACTCACTAGAGGTTGAATCGTAACATACAAATTTCTCTAGAACAAAATAAGCTGACATTTTTATATGTCTAACATTGGATCTTAATTATCGTTACACAAAGTTCTCGATCTAAAGTGTGCAAGTATAAGAACCATCGTACCCTTAACTAGTTTGTATATCTATGTCAAAAAGGACATGATAATAAACAGTAACAAGACGAGCTGATATAAAAGATATTCCTGAACTGTTATTTCATAATTTCATCAACAACTTTCGATCGTGAATGAACACAAACAAACTTATCTATGTACTTTAACAGTATTATCAAATATTACAAGTTCAATCAACAGGTCAACTAGGAAAAAGTAAAAAAATGAGTAAATTCATCGGCACCACTACTTGTAAGAAATACAACCTAAAGGTCAGACGCTTTTGTTTTTATTTCTTCTGTTTCATTCATCTCATATGGTTCGCTTTCTTTGATTTTTTTAATTCTCTCTCTCACTTTCCATTCTCTCTTTCGCACTTCACCGCGAGCGAGCAAGCAAGCAGCAGACATATGAAATACTGCAGCCAATGAGATTTTTGATGCTACATCTCAACTGAATTAGGACTTAGTTCATAAGTTTCATTTCATGTCTGAACAGACATATCAACAATTCCTCTAAATATTTCAATGAGAGGTATGAAGGATAGGTTTGTTTTCTACTACTGACGAGTAGGAAGTGGCACTGTTTGCTCCAGGTACCTTTTAGTTCTTGTAAAAGTGTTTGCTAAAAAGTCTCACTTATTATTACTATAGTGGTAAAACGGGCCACAATCTTCTTCTCTGTTCAAATTTATACAAGTTAATTTGATAAAGAAAGTGGCCGTTGCTAGAATACTGGCTGTGCACTATGGCAATAAATAAGGCACATTTTTTGATTCAGTCACACCAAGACATCCATAAATTTTATCCATAAATCTCTACTATCAACGTGAAATATCGCAATTTTGCGGCGATTGTAGTGTTTATGGATGCCTTGGTTTGGATCTTTTGATTCTTATAGCGTTGTTGTATAATATAAAAGTACGACATGGACACCGCCACATCCATGACAATCTATAGTCGACTGAACATAAGACTCTGTGGTCTGTAATGAGCTATAACAGAAGGTTTTCGAGTATTGCCGTTTAAAAAAATGTTTTTCTAATTTGTAATTTTTGATAATACTGTTAAAGTACATAGATAAGTTTGTTTGTGTTCATTCACGATCGAAAGTTGTTGATGAAATTATGAAATAACAGTTCAGGAATATCTTTTATATCAGCTCGTCTTGTTACTGTTTATTATCATGTCCTTTTTGACATAGATATACAAACTAGTTAAGGGTACGATGGTTCTTATACTTGCACACTTTAGATCGAGAACTTTGTGTAACGATAATTAAGATCCAATGTTAGACATATAAAAATGTCAGCTTATTTTGTTCTAGAGAAATTTGTATGTTACGATTCAACCTCTAATGAGTCTTAGTAACTGAATAAACAAACAACATGTTCATTCATGATAGAAAGTTGCTGATTAAGTTATGTAATAACAATTTAATAATATCTTTTACACCAGCTTATTTTATTATTGTTTATTATCATATTATTTTTGAACCCTTTTAATTTTTGCATTCGTTAAAATAATCATACTAGTTTCACAAAAAAACGTTTCAACCGCTTTTTAAGGTAGATTTTTGTATTCTATTAACGACTCGCCATGTATAGTTTAGATATAAATGATAAAAAAGCAATATATTTGATACAAAGTTAACTTAAAAGTGCAAATCATACAAATATGCTTGCTATATTTTTTTAAGTAAATCGGCTCGTAATATGGAGATATACAAATATAAGCGTGTATATTGACAAAAGAACCAAGAGAAAGAAAACGCATTTACCTGTTTGTTATAGAGGACGTCATATAAATGCTATTCTTTCCTAATGATGATGCATCATCGTAAATTATCAGTTTCAACAGGCGAAGAAGACGAAAGAGAGCCAATACAAGTTCTCAATCAAACTCAGCATACTTCTTTTGTGCCATATGTTTTTGTCACACTATCAGTTTTTATCGGTATTCTTTGTCTAATTGGTTTTACTACTATTAGTCAAACTTACAATTGGAGTTCAGAAACAATCGAACAATGCAAAAACCACTCCACATCCCCTGTGTTAGTTTGTTTTATTGATTCAATGTTTTCCGATGCTTTATCAACTCAATGGAATCGATACATATTAATTAATCTTTTGCTGACTTATGCTAGTGTGCTACTTTTTGTGACAACAGAAACTGATCGATCAACAGGAATATTCAGTTATTTATTATTGCATACAGTTCTAATGGCTGCAGGAATTGGAATAGGGTTCCCATGTACATTCGTTTCATCGTATATTTATAAATATCAGATGTCAGAACAAAAATTAATAGAATCCCGTGTTTCAATTTCTCGTCTATTATCTGGATTTGTGTATATTTTACTTATTATTTTAATTCCAACTTATCTAATTTATTTCTTGAATGTCAGATCTGCTGTATGGTCATATTCCGCAATGATCCTTCTCTTTTCACCGATTCCCATCAACTTATTTATACTACCCACTCGATATGTTTGTCATAAATTTTTATTATCAATTAATTATCATCAAGTTATTATTGGTACACAATTGTTGATATTGTTACTTTCTTTACCGATCTATTTCACAACATTTATTCGTCTTATGTCGCATCTGTCTAATCAGTTATTTTATACTAGTTATAACAATAATCCATCAGCAATCATATGGACAATTGATTATGTTGCTTTATTATTAGGTTTAATAGTTTTGATTACCGTACAAGAAAAAGTTATTCCGTGTGTAAAAAACAGTAAAACATATTTTATTTACGTTTTGTTTGCTGTTGGTTTTATTCTATCACCATGTTTAATATTTCCATTGTATCTAGCATGGAAAGAATATCATCGATCATAATCAATAAAAAATATCAATTTTCGATTTTTTAACTAACCCGTAACCGATACAAGATTTATCTCATATATTAGAAACTATTTATCAACATTGATTTAGAAAATTGGATATGCATACCTTTCTTAAACTACCAATAGTCAAACATTCTCTAATTGTCGTTGATGTAAAAAGACTATATATGACACCTTGCTAAATTAGTTAGGAAACTTTCTTATATTAGTTTATTCGTGGTGTGAAACGCTAAAAAGTCGTGATGAGCTTACAATACGACAACTTTTTCTCTTAGCAATCGCGTTCGAATCACAAAGTCGCTAAAATAATTCGTTGTAAGACAGACAGTTTTTTTAAGTTTTAAAATCATATCATGATTGTGATTTTCTCTTACAGTCGCGATATGACACAGAATTGTGGAACGCTGACAAGTTTTTGTCACATCTCAGTTAAAATGACAAATGTTAGCGTTGATCTTGATTTTAACTGTTAAACTTTGATTGTAAAAAATAGCAATGGATAAGATTATGATCGGTGAGAGACAACAATCGCATCATATCATGATTAATATATAGATACGATCTTGCGCCGCGAGTTCACGGTTCGATTGTAATCGCAGTAAGAATAGTATGACTCCATGGACGAAAATTGCGAATAAATAGCGAGGGCAGAAAATCCCATATTGTTTTGTGAGTTTAACAGCGAACGCGTTACACGATCAAGACAAGAAGGGTTAGTTTTGGGCAAAATGAGCTAACTAGTGCATGACTGACTTATATTAAAAATATTTCAAGTTAATTGCTAATAAATGAACAATAAGATTATATTAGTTTTCATTTTACGTTTGTCTATACTCTTCTAAGGATATATTTCCAAATGCTTGCAGAAATTATTTCTATCCTTCTTTCTCTTAGCCGATTTTCAATAAAATATAAGTTTGAATTAATTAAAGAAGACTGATTGAAGTTAGTCTTATCACAAGACTGACTAGAATATTTTCAGAATAGACAGCAAAACGAAGCATACACAAGAGACAAACTATACATAATTTATTTTCTTGGTAAAAAACAAAAAACAAAAATAAACAGAAAGGGAGTGCCATTGACACTAGGTGCATGTGAAATAGGAGAAGTTATAGATGCCAGATCTTTTTTCTTCTAAAATGCAAAAAATCAAGCTAAAAAAAAATAAATAAATATATTTGACATTTATTTACAAGATATATGGAGAAAAAACGAACAATCGTCGTCGATTTATATTGTGATTACAACTTAATTGCATTTATGCGTTTTTTTATTTATTACATAATTGAACATTTCCGTTTTGATGTATTTGTCGATGATATAGATAATACTTTTTTTGCCGATTTTTTTCGTGCTAATTCATCAGTAATATTATCAGGTGTATGTGAAATTTTTTTATTGACGTTAATAGTTCTATTATTTAGTATGGGCGTTGTTGGTCGAGTTGTACCCGATGCTTCTGTTACACTTGGACTACGTGATGATGTTGTTGTACTAGTATTACTAATAGCACCACCACCGCCAGTAGTTTTCACCGGTGATATTGATGAATTATCATTGTTAGTTGCTGTTGTTTCAATAATATGTCCATCTTGATCAACATTAAAATTAAATTGTCGTTTTTTATCTAATTTTAAAAGTTCTTGAAATGCTTCTCGAATATTTGAATTTTGTTTTGCTGATGTTTCAATGAATGCACATTGCCAATGTTGAGCTAAAAATTTTCCAATATTTTCTGATACTTCACGACATGCTGTATCATCAGATTTACAGCCAATTAACATAATTGGTACATCTTGAGGTGATTGACTTTGTTCACCTTTTATTTCACGAATTTGTTGATAAATTGGTTTTAAATCTTCTAATGTTTGTTTCGATGTGATAGAATAAAGGAGCATAAATGCATGACCTTTTTGAATTGATAAACGTTGCATAGCAGGAAATGAATGGGTACCTAAAATAAAATAAAATAATTATTATTATAATATCTATTCTATTTAAAATTATGTCTCTGTACCTGTTGTATCAGTTATTTGTAATGTTGTTATTTGTTTATTACAGTTGACAACTTGACGATCTAAAGAATAAAAAATATACCATCTACTTTAATGATACGATTAGCAAAATTTTTTATTTATTTTACATGTATCTTCAACTGTTGGAATATAACTATCTCTAAATTGTCCTTTCACAAAACGTAACACACAACTTGTTTTACCTAAAGCATAAAAAATGATGATATAATCACATCCTAAATCTGAAATTCTCTTATCCTGATACGGAAATTAATACCTTAAGGATATCATTTTGTTTCTAATATGATTTTATTATTTCTATTATATTTGCATCTGTTTAATAAATAAAGAAAGAAAAAAAAAAAAACTCTTACCAACACCAGCCGATCCAAGAACAACGATTCGATAATCATTGCTTTGCTCGGGCATCATAACCCGGCAATTTGCTGAAGGATCTTTGTTTAACTAAAATGAAATACAAAAGTATTAATCATATTAAATTTATTAGTAATCAATCATAAGGACAGTTTAACCTATGTTTTGAGGAAACGATGACGAAATTAAAATAGTTGATTATGACCTCAAAGTGGCTAAGAGTTCTTTTTAACTATGATAAGGACATTTTGTATTACTGAGTGTAATTCGAGTAAAAAATGATCGAATGATGGGTTTTGTTTTAACAATTACTAATCCAACGAATCGCTTTTGCCATTTAGCATATCAGTTAATGAAAGAAGAAAAATCGTTTGTCACACTCGCTAAAAGAAGGGTATATTAAAACGTCGAAAATGGTATCACCGAAGAAACGTCTATGAATCAACTTTTCATTTTTATATTCGTCAAAATAACTAACTATATTGGTTTCATAAAAAATGTTTCGTCCATTTTTTAAGATACTTTTTTATGTATTTTTAGCAGCACGAATTTTTACTTATCAAAAAAAAAATGTGCATTGTGATAAAACCATATCATTTTCGATTTTTAAAAACACAAAAATACCAGTCTATGGTGATTTGAAATAGCATTGTTTTTTTAGAGAGCAGTATTCATGGTTTTTCACTTACTTTTAAATTAATATATTAAAATTTTTCTATGTAAGAAAAACACGTCATTTATTCTTTAGCAATAATACCGAAAGTAATTGTCTCACAAGCAGTACCAGAAGCTTTTCATATTATTCAATAATTTGTTTTTTATGAATCAATTTTTATTGCTCTAATTGCTCATTTTGCGCACATTTTTTTGAAAGAACTGTATATCTCCGCGGGCACTCTTGGATGATTCATTACAGCACAAAAAAAGAATTCTTCCCTTAAAATGATCTCATAAGGATTAAATATTCAACACAGTCGGAGTTCCTTATTTTCTATAGATTCATTGTTTGGACTACTTTTTTTTTCCGTAACTAGAATATAATGGATGTCAAACGAAGCATTCTTCTCCAACAGAAACGTGTTCAAGTATCTTTTATTTTTGTTTTAGTTCAATGTGTCTTAGAAAAACTTTGTATAAGATAATTCACAAAGAAAAATTGTAGCTGTTTTTCGCATTTTATTTTCTGTTCGAAAACACGAAGAGCACTGTTTACATAAACGCATTTGCACGAGTTAACTGATCAAATGAATAGTTGACATTAAGTTCATCTTTATACAAACGTATTTTCTTAAAGAATTACGCCTAGAGCCGCGATATTTAGATCTAGAAAATTTTTTAAAAAATTTTTTGCCTTTGCTCTCACTCCTTTTCTCCTGAAAGATCGAGAATTTCTTTTTAAATTTTGTTCAAATTTCACCGAGTTATATGTGATCGACCCTGGTGATGACGAATATCATAGTTATAAACCTTGGAAACATTTCAGAAAGTCAGGAGAACACCCTCAAAACGACCAGAATATAATCGAATGTCTATGTAGCTTCAAATGATAAATGGAAGTAGAATATTAGCCATCGTCATCCTCTTGATGAGTATGGCAAAGTTGAGCTCGACTAAATAACGTGTTCATCCATTTATGCAATATATGAATAGAAAAGTCCGTTTTCAATAGATGACCGCATCAAACATTCATGTTGCTCAAAAACGTTTTTGAAAATATGAGAGACCTTTTTAGGGAGTTCAGCTAGTTTGTGTGATTGTGTTATGGTAAATAAATTGCTTCGATTAGATCTACACCAAACATTCTTTATAAAACTTTATAAAAAAAATGAGAATAATAGTCACTTAACTACATCTATCTCTACTTTTACAATTTTTAGTGAGAAATGGTAGAAATTAAGATGAGTTCATCTAACTCTCACCACTGTGCATGATGTAACGAATAAGAAAAAAGTCAGTCGTATAGTTTATAGTATGCATCCAGCGCTTGACTAATATTTTACACTGAAATATCTCAGATTCGATCGAGGTGCTGATGTATCAACTGACAGTGAGTCAGATGATGATGATGATGATGATGATGATTCGTACAACTATAATTCTCTCATTTAAATATGATGTGACTAATTTTGCTTGACTTTATTCTGTCGAAACACGAACAGTCACACAGTTCAATATCAAATCGAGGTATGTGTTTTTTCTTCTTCTAGAAGTCTATGAATTCGACTTAGATACAAAACTATTTACGTTCAATAAAGAAGAACTATTTCTAAAGTGTTCACCTAAGAATGAAGAAAACTCGTGAAGCGAGCGCTTGTATTTAAATTAAAGGTTCATTTTAAATATAATTAAGTTTCAAATGGATGCAGGTAGCTGGGCAATCAACTGCATGACCCCTGATATATTGCTGTAGACGGAACTCTACGTGGTCTATAGTGGAGGATATCTGTCACCCCGGATGGATCATTGGTTGTGAAGATGATTTGGATCAAAGTTAAATAAAAAACCAGTTGAATGAGATAAATCGGTAGAATCGACACAGACTTCCAATATGGCATGCACTTCACTATTACAAAATCTTTCTCTTTCTATTGTAAAAACAATACGTATACCATGACAGAACTAAGGAAATAGTGTCTAATAGAACATCCGAATGGCTTAGGATAAACTGAATAAAAGAAGAAGGTAAAAAATTCTAATGTGTTGTAACTTGTTCTTTTATTTTTTTCAATATTCACAGACTGGAATAATTAACGGGTTCACATTTATTTTTTGAAGAACTTCCTAACTATACTTAGTAATACTGGGTAGTTTAAACAACTTTTGTTTTACTTTTCTCTCCAATTTGCGAAAATATTGATGAAATGCATTTTATAGATCCCTAAGATTTTATTTTCATTGTTATCTATCTATTTGTGACTAAGTTTGAAATGTACTTTCTCAAATTATTAGGAAGTAATAATGCATTAAGTGTATTTCACACCTTCATCATACTGTGTTGCCCGATTTTTTTCAAATATTTATGGGTTTACTCTTGTATAACAGGAAAAGTAAGAAGAATACTATTATCAGAAATGTATTCTAAGAACAGTGTTTAAAAAAAAGGATCGATAGTAAACTTGAAGAGAAAATAGGAGGAAATCAACATTTTTTGCAACATCGTTTTTTATCAATGATGTACAAAAATAGAATAAAGCTAATAGTAACACGAAGAATCACATTCCATTATAGTAGTAGTTATAATAAATATAATAATACCAAAAAACTTTGGTATTATTATGTTTATTTTAAGTCTGACAGATTATGCATTCATGCCTATAGCGTTTTAAGTTTTTTGTCAGAGTCATACTTCATAAACAACAAAAGAGCAACACATTCTCACTCTTTTAGTCGGTTACATTACAAAATAGAAAGCAGATACTTGTAATAAATGTAATAATACCACTATATGAGATTCAGATTGAATTCACAACTGTTTCTAAGGTCATTTCAGAGTAGTACTAAATCGTATTCTGATACAGTTATAATTCCGAAAGATTATAAAAGAAAAAATCCAAAAGTAAAGTACTCTCAAGATCATAGTCTCTTTAGATGGTATGATTTTTGTTTTTAGACTTTTCTTCCCAAATAGAATTATCTCATTTACTCATTTTTAAGGTACTTTATCAGCCATGTAGACACAAGACATCTGTAATTTTTTCTAGTACCAAATGAGAAATGTAAAGAGAAAATATAAAAAATATTATGTTGTGACACTCGTGTCAAAACCCTATTCGACATGTACAGTGCAAAGATATAAATGATAAAAAAGTAATATATTTCATCATTATAAAGTTAAATTAAAAGTGTAAATCATACAAATATACCTGCTATGTTTTTTAAGTAAATTGGCTCGTAATATGGAAATATACAAAATAAAGAAAAATCAGCTGTATCGTTATGTTTCGTCAAGATTAAATTATTCTCATCTACTTTCATTATTTTATTTATTATCATTCAAGGATAGAAATAAATTTTTCCCATCTCTTCTTTTCCTCTTCGCTCATCTATCAATGAACAAGAACTCTTACAAGCTCCTACACCCTCCCTCTTGTCATTCCATTTTCTACTCTTTGTTTAACGATCATCTTTTTTTTCATCAACGGAAATATTTGTTTTCCATCTAAAATATCATGTCATCTACGCACTCGGGATGCTCAGAGAAGAAAAAAAATGTCAGACGTTAATTGATCATATTCACAATAAGAACCATGACATTCCCTACTGTTTATGTTTTAGATACAAACATTCCCATTTAATCTTACAAAAAGGGAAACATTTAAGTAGGAGAAAACTTAATTATTATTATTATTATTGTCTGAATCTCTTTAAAACTTTAATCCAATTAATTGCATTTTTCCAACACAATAGAAATATATCGAAATACGAGACATTTTTTTAATCGATCAACAAATGAACAGTTTCTTTTTACCTTGTACAAAATTTGCCATCTCAGTAGACGATTAGCTGAGTTATTCAAGACTAAGAAAATCAATACGAATTTTATTTTCAAATTCTGTCGACATGATCGATCTATCACTGTTTATCGATGTTAAGTCGAAGAAAAAAAAGCGTGGCATGGACCTGAACGAAGAAGACTGTAAACATTGTCTATGTTAATCTGATCATTACAGTCTTATTGATTCTTAATCAAAAAAATTATCAGTACATTATTTGAGATAAATGTCTCTATTTGATCGACGGTACGGTTTTTATTCTAATACAATGGTGTCTTTATGTGATGCAGAAAATATCTGTGCAAATGATATATTTAACTATACATGGAGAGAATTATCTGTTTAGGATAAAATTCATGTTTTTCTTGTTCTGACAAAGATGTTGTAGTTCAAAAGAAGTAGTTCGACAAGCATTAAAACGCGAACAGTATGCGTCCTGAATTATTCATCTAAGTTTTTTTATGAATATTTTACCCATCAAAAGTAATTTTCTTATTCACATTAATAAAAAATGTTGAAATCTTCATAAATTAATTTTATTCACTTATTTTGAAGTTTGAGTCT